AAGTGGTGGCAGAAGCAGAAGTAGAAGCAGAAGCGTTAGGAGAAGTAGAAGTGGAAGCAGAAAAAAAGTGAAAGAAGAAGCGGAAGTAAAAGCAGAAGAACAAGTGAAAGCAGAAATACGAGTAGACGTAAAAGCAGAAGAAGAAGTAGAAGTAAAATCAGAAGTAGATGCAGAAGTAGAAGTGGAAGCAGGATTAGAAGTAAAAGCAGAATTAGAAGCGAAAGTAGAAGCAGGAGTAGAAGTAAAGTTAAAAATAGAGGTGGAAGCAGAATTAGAAATGGAATTAGAAGTCGAAGCAGAATTAGAAGTGAAAGTAAAAATAGAGGGGAAACAGAACTAAAAGTGGAAATAGATGTAGAAGCAGAATTAGAAACAATTAGAAGTGTAAGCAGTATTAGAAGTCGAAGCAGAATTAGATGTGAAAGTAAAAGTAGAAGCAAAAGTAGATGCAGAAGTAGAAGCAAAAGTAGAAGCAGAAGTAGAAGTAAAGGTATAAATAGAGGTGGAAGCAGAATTAGAAACAGAATAAGAAGTGGAAATAGAGATGGAAGCAGAATTAGAAATAGAATTAGAAGTGGAAGCAGAATTAGAAGCAGAAGTATAAGCAAAGGTGAAATTAGAGATGGAAGCAGAGTAGAAACAGAAATATAAGTGGAAATAGAGGTGGAAGCAGAATTGGAACAGAATTAGAAGTGGAAGGAGAATTAGAAGTCAATGTAGAATTAGAAGTCGATGTAGAATTAGAAGTGAAAGATGAATTAGAAGCAAAAGTAGAAGCAGAATTAGAATTGAAAGCAGAAGTAGCGAAGTGGAAGCAGAATTATAAGTGGAAGCAGAATTAGTAGAAGCAGAATTAGAAGTGGAAGCACAATTATAAGCAGAAGTAGAAGTGAAAGCAGAAGGAGAAGTGGAAGCAGAATCAGAAGTAGATGCAGTAGAAGTGGTAGTAGAAGTAGAAGAGGCAACACAAGTAGAAGAAGAAGTAAAACTGGAAGCAGAATAAGATTTAGGAGAAAACACAAAGACATTGGCAATTGCAAACTGAATAAGAGGTTTACCCATTTCCCTTTTAGCTCCCTTAGCAGAGGCAAGAGCACTGTGACTAATTCTCATGCTGATGGGCTGAGAGAGATGATTTGCGACAATCAGTTGGCCAAACACAGTCACCTTAGGGAGAAGACAAAAATTAACCATGCTTCAGTTATTCACTTCCATATGCTTGGCTACAACTGAGTGGCCAAACAATCATCTTAGACACAGGAAGCCTCCCTCAATCACTTACTTTGAAATAATTTATTAAATTACACGACCATACAGTCACCTTGAAAAAAAAAAATATGTCAGACATTCACTTAAATATGATTTGCTACAAGTAGATGGTTAAGCAGTCACCTTGGACAAAACAGACATCCTTTAATCATTCACTTCCGCATGATTTGTTACCATTATCTGCCCGAAAACAGACATCTTGGATTTTTTTTTTAAAAACAACCTTTAATCTTTCATTCTCCAATGATTTGTTTTACCAGCTGACCAAGCACAATCATAGTAAAAAAACAACACTTGTCAATTATTCATTTCTAAATTATTTGTCAATGGCTTTTTTAAAAGCCAAGTTGATGTAAAATTTTCTGGTATGCCTCGGTGATAGAGATCACAGCATGAGTCGCCCAAAACATATTGTTTTTCTAAGCTCTGGAGAACATATCCAATTTAATGCTTCACTCTGTTTATATTTATTGACTACCTCTTTGTATATTAGGAGTCCCCGCGGGGGAGCGGATGGACGCTCGCCGCGGATCAGAAGATAGTGGGTTTGCTCCCTGGTAGCCTGGGCTTTTTAAAAAAATGACGTTGGCTCCCAGGTCGACCCAGCCTTGAGCGGGTACCGGGTGCAGTCCTGGGAAGTAAAGGCGGCCAGCATGATGCTGGCCTAAAGGCAAGAAAAAGGGTCCTTTACTTACTAAACTCTTTGTAAATCTTTTGAAAACAAAAGGTAAATTTTGTATATCTTTTGAAAACAAAAGGTAAATTTTGTATATCTTTTGAAAACAAAAGGTAAATTTTGTATATCTTTTGAAAACAAAAGCTAAATTTTGTATATCTTTTGAAAACAAAAGCTAAATTTTGTATATCTTTTGAAAACAAAAGGTAAATTTTGTATATCTTTTGAAAACAAAAGCTAAATTTTGAATATCTTTTGAAAACAAAAGCTAAATTTTGTATATCTTTTGAAAACAAAAGCTGAATTTTGTATATCTTTTGAAAACAAAAGCTAAATTTTGTATATCTTTTGAAAACAAAAGCTAAATTTTGTATATCTTTTGAAAACAAAAGCTAAATTTTGTATATATTTTGAAAACAAAAGCTAAATTTTGTATATCTTTTGAAAACAAAAGGTAAATTTTGTATATCTTTTGAAAACAAAAGCTAAATTTTGTATATCTTTTGAAAACAAAAGCTAAATTTTGTATATCTTTTGAAAACAAAAGGTAAATTTTGTATATCTTTTGAAAACAAAAGCTAAATTTTGTATATCTTTTGAAAACAAAAGCTAAATTTTGTATATCTTTTGAAAACAAAAGCTAAATTATGTATATCTTTTGAAAACAAAAGGTAAATTTTGTATATCTTTTGAAAACAAAAGGTAAATTTTGTATATCTTTTGAAAACAAAAGGTAAATTTTGTATATCTTTTGAAAACAAAAGGTAAATTTTGTATATCTTTTGAAAACAAAAGGTAAAAATGTAAAACAAATAAACATTAGAAAAATTTATTAGCAACCTGTGTAATACGCGTTTTTTTTTTAAAGGATCACCCCTCCCCCTCCCCCATTTTACCCCTGAGAATTCCCATGGGTTCATTAGCGGGTCAGAAGGGTCAAGGAAATGGTGGGATTGTGCAAATAGGTTTACCTGCATCTGTAGATTTCCTAGTTTCCTGACTTTGATTATGACCAGGTAATTTTGGTCCCGAGCTGTCACATTTCGGACTGATGTGCTCTCGGAGTCGATTGGAAAAGGTTCAGTCCATTTCCAAGATGGCTTGTCCATGCACAAATGCAACATCTGCAGGAGATATCAAATTTTAAATAGAAAATAACCGAAAGTGTCAATGTTGAATTAAGAATCAACGTCACAGCAATTGGGACACCCCCATAAGTGCTCCGTCCCTATCTTCAGCAGCAAGCCAAGAGTTGAAATTCTGATGGTACCAGTAACTATATGATTGTATATCCCTCTCGCCTTTACCCTGAGTGTCAAGCGCCGGCCAGATCCCCTTGTAACTCCTCGCAGTGCCATTCTCTTCAGACCGTAATGATCTATCTGTTCCTAGGCACTGTTCACTCGCTCCCAAAGGGCCCTCACAACATCCAGCTTGTCATACATCAGTTCACCACCAAGTGGTGCAGAACCGGCCAGTGCCAATGATATGTGGGAATGTCAAGAGTGTAGTGATGCGGATTCAGGATCACTCATTCACTTCACAATGAAAACAAATAATATAAAATCAAAGAGTTGTGGGGTGAACTGTTCATCCACTCTATCTCAAACTACTGTTCATCCACTCTATCTCAAACTACTGTTCATCCACTCTATCTCAAACTGTCTACCTATTTCTCAATCCTTCTCCCCCCGCCCCTCTCTGAGAGGAAAAATTGACACTTCTGGCAAACTGACCCTGTTCAGTTTATGGATTACTTATTTCATATTATTGCTTCACCCTGTTCATGTTTATTGATTACTTCTATCATATTATTGATTTACCTTGTTCATGTTTACGGATTACTTCTTTCATGTTATTGCTTTACTCTGTTCATGTTTATGGATTACTTCTTTCATATTATTGCTTCACCCTGTTCATGTTTATGGATTACTTCTTTCATTTTAATGCTTCACCCTGTTCATGTTTATGGATTACTCCTTTCATTTTAATGCTTCACCCTGTTCACGTTTATGGATTACTTCTTTCATTTTAATGCTTAACCCTGTTCATGTTTATGGTTTACTCCTTTCATTTTAATGCTTCACCCTGTTCATGTTTATGGATTACTTCTTTCATTTTAATGCTTCAACCTGTTCATGTTTATGGATTACTCCTTTCATTTTAATGCTTCACACTATTCATGTTTATGGATTACTTCTTTCATTTTAAGCTTCACCCTGTTCATGTTTCTGGATTACGTCTTTCATATATATATATATTTAAAAAAGTTAGTTGTGTGTTCTTTACAGAACATTGTAGAACCAACCCCAGCATCTAGTTGTTGTAGTTTCTTCTTCTTCTCTTCCACCTTGTACCTCAGCGAAGTGTCGGGGGAAGATGTAACATCGTTGATGAGCTCTGTCAAGAGCACTTTTAAGATTGATGTTCATTTCTTTAAGGCTGTTCTTAATGCCATCACCCCATTTGTCTGAGGTCTTCCTCTCGCTCTATACCCGTTGTAATGTTTTAGTGTGGCTTGCTGTGGCAGATGGTACCAGGGCATTCTTGTTAGGTGTCCAAACCATTTCATTTGTTGTTCTTTGATGACCTGTAAGACTGGATTTATTCCTAGCATTCGTATGATTTCATGATTTTGTATTCTGTCTTTCCCTGAAACTCCTGCAGCTCTTCTAAGGCATTCCATCTCTGTTGTCACAATTTTACGTTCATTGGAGGATGTAAGTCTCCACGTCTGGCACTGACAGCATTAGTGTTGGCCAAAAAATAGTTCTGATAAGATTCACTTTAGTACTCTGGGGTATCTGCTTGTGTGTCAACATGGGGGATAACTGCCAGTTTGTTGTGGTTTTTCTAGCTAATTTTACATTCAGTAGTCTGCCACTGCTTCTGAAAGTCTGTTCTTGACCCTACTGTTGAAACCTATGCAAAGCGGTCTGCTGCAAAATCACCTGCAGGTGGAATTAACACACACAGTTCTCAGAATGAAGTCACTGACCTGTGGAAAATTATATGACCTCCAGGAATAAGCGTACATCTCCCTCGACTTCAGAACTATATTTTCATCTGTTCCTGCCTGTTGTGTTAAAGCAAAACAAAACAAAACAAAACAAAATACATTTATATAAAGTATGAGATTTCGAACAACAGATCAACATCATAGCACACCGGTAGTAACCCATAAGTGCTCCGTTCTTCTTCTAACTCAAGTCTGAGTCCGGAGAAGCTCAGCACAGTGCACGGGCTCTGTAGCACCGGCGAGGATCCTGAAATACTTTGGGTAGATTTTTAACTCCAAATTTTGCCCGGGCAGCACAGTTAAGCTACTCTTTTCGATTTCCAACTGCCAAGGGATTTTTTTATGTGCGCAACAATGCACACGGGCGTCCGATCTCACTACCCAGAGACCAGGTGGAATTACTAGAAGTCCAAGTTCATGTGAAAAGCCCTTACCGGGGATCGAACCCGGAACCTCTAGCACTTGAGGTGGACACCATGCCTCGAGACCACGCAGCCGCATTATATAAAGTAAAAACCTGGTTAACCCAAATGCCAAGGGAGAGAAAGTCGAGTATGTGATAAATAATTCCTACTAATGTGGACTTATAATTATTACATTTTATCAGGCAGAAAATCCTGGTTGATTATTCAATTCTGGACTTTGCTCCTGTATTTAAGTGTTGTGTGAATTTCCGTTTTACAGATCTGGCTTCCTTCTGTGCAGACAGTTCATTCCTTACCTCTCAAGCAGACGCACTTCGACCCCAAAAGATAATGTCAACCCTATCTTCAGTGACCAGTGTTGAGATCCTCTGTCTATAATTACTGTGGTCAATGATAGCAGACATAAGTCTGGCATCATGAGAGCTAATAGACTGAAATTGATGGGGCATACTGAGAGAATGTCAGATGGTAGGAAGGTAAAAACTGTGAACAAAAGGGAGTCACTGATCATGAAGCATCCATAGAAGATTGTGGAGAGATAATATCATTATGTGCCATGATGTTAAGCATAAGCTGCCATGTTTCGCCATCTCACATAATCATCAGAATCACGGATCAGTTCAAAATGTTTGTCTCGCCCCCCCCCCATCTATCTGGCCAGACCATCCAGGTATTTATCTCACTGCCTTCCTCTTGCTCTCTTTCCATCAATCTCACCAGTTGTTACCAAGTTCTTGAGTCCATTCGTTCTCCTAGCATATCCCAAAACACACTGATTGTCTACGTCTAATTGTTCGAAGTTTTCATCAGTCTTGACTGATCTGTTTTTCTATCCTTCCAAAATATTTTTTGCACTTTTCTCAGAAATCACACATCTGCAGCGACTAAATGTTTTTCAGCTTGTCTGTTTTTTGTCCATGTTGCACATACACATAACAACACAGGTTCGTCATAGCACTTTTTTCTCACTGCAATTAACAAATGTTTATTGGTAAGAATCCTGTTGAAGGCCACTTTTGCCTAGCAATTCTTGTTCTAAATTCTGTAAGGCATCTTGAGGCAATATACAAGATGACTTGCAAACATCTGGCGTCACAAATTAAAATCAGGACTCATCACAAAGATGAATGGAGGCAGGCGATATCTGCAGCAATGAACCTCAAGGGCTTAGAATGCTGAAGAAGAGGAAGAATGGTAGCAGGCAACTGAACCTCTTGTGTCATGCATTATGATGTTGCCATCAACTAGGACTCTCAGTTGACATAATACACTTGAAGCGATGGTTGTCATTTAGTAGGAACCTCGGCCAGTGGACTTCCCAGAGTTTCTGAACGATGTTATCCATCATGCATTCGGGGTTGGCCTTATGGGTGTTAGAGATAGCGATGGTTGTCATTTAGTAGGAACCTCGGCCAGTGGACTTCCCTGAGTTTCTGAAGGATGTTATCCATCATGCATTCGGGGTTGGCCTTATGGGTGTTAGAGATAGCGATGGTTGTCATTTAGTAGGAACCTCGGCCAGTGGACTTCCCTGAGTTTCTGAAGGATGTTATCCATCATGCATTCGGGGTTGGCCTTATGGGTGTTAGAGATAGCGATGGTTGTCATTTAGTAGGAACCTCGGCCAGTGGACTTCCCTGAGTTTCTGAAGGATGTTATCCATCATGCATTCGGGGTTGGCCTTATGGGTGTTAGAGATAGCGATGGTTGTCATTTAGTAGGAACCTCGGTCAGTGGACTTCCCAGAGTTTCTGAACGATGTTATCCATCATGCATTCGGGGTTGGCCTTATGGGTGTTAGAGATAGCGATGGTTGTCATTTAGTAGGAACCTCGGTCAGTGGACTTCCCAGAGTTTCTGAACGATGTTATCCATCATGCATTCGGGGTTGGCCTTATGGGTGTTAGAGATTCACTGCATTTCCTGGGGCCACCAGCTCCAAAATCCCTTGCCGATTCTATTCCTAAAGAACAAAAATGTCAAACCTCCCCCTCTTTACAGGAAATAATCCACTGAACAATGACTGAAAAGTTTAACAAACTCGACAAGCAGAATAATGTGCACAAAACAGCACATCAGCATGTTTCGGCACTGAGCCTTTCTCGACAAGAACATGAACTACAACGGCCATATCAAGGGGTGGGAGTCAAACTTTCAAATGGATAAATGCCTTGTTATCTCGAGGCAGGTTTTCTTTGCCATTTTATTTGTATTCCAGTTCTTTGTGGTGTGCAGTTACACCTTATTTTCTGTTTCCTGGTCTTCCATGTCTGGTGCGGTCTTGTGGGTCTGATCCTTTGCCCGCTCGATTTAATATTATATAGGCCAGTGTTTCTCAAATTTTTCTTAGTCGTGGGGCCTTTTTTAAAAATTATATAACAATTTTTCCACAGCGCCCTAAACTAAGTATAAGTATAACTACTTGTATGTAAGAGATAAAAAAACACACAAAAAACTCATGTATCTTTGAAAATTTCACCTTTACCCTGTGAAGAGGCCACAGGGTGCCACGGTGCAGTTTGGGAATCACTGATATAGACCATTATTGGTCCGGCACAAAGTGGACATGTGGTAGGAGATTTTCATGAAGTTCTGTTAAACCAGCATAGTCTGCTGGCACTGAAGGTGAGGTAGGGGGCGTCTCCTTGTACACAACACAATGACCTTAACTTAACCTTATGCCTGTAACCGAAATCACTGCACCACATTCAAACAGCCTTACAACGTGATTTATGAGCAGTCAAAATGTCAAGAAAAACTCACACTCATCACTTACCTGGCCAAATCGGATAGTTGAAGTTGTGTTGTTGCATAGGGCATAATAGGAGAAGGTTAAATGAGGCCCTGAAGAATCTGGCCGGAACTGAAAATATAATAATTGTTCAATGGGACCATTTCATTGTTGATAAATGCAAGATGTAATAATAATGGCGTATAGGGCATATAGGGCTGGACCTATATGTTTATAGACTATCGGCACAAGATGCGTGATTTGGTCAGCATCACGCCGGCCGCCTTTACTTCCCAGGACTGCACCCGGTACCCACTCAAGGCTGGGTCGACCTGAGAGTCAAGGTCATTTTAATAATAATATTGTACTGAACTTCTAATCTCTCAAATCTTTCTCTGCATACATTTAACCTTTCACAGCTCAGTAATTCAATACTGCATAAGCTCTGCACGCAAAAATAATCTACAACAACTCAATAACAACAAAAGTTACTCTTTCTGGAAATTTACTTCTAACAAGATTTCATTCAGATTTTATTAAAAATCACTGCACAAAATTTTACCTTCAATATTTCCACAAGGTTACATAGACACCTTGTTCAAATTTGAACTAAGATAATTCATAAATAAATATTACAAATGTTTTAGTGAAGTTTCAACATGCATTTACACATATAATATGATATTTACAAATTAAAAGTGGCTGGATCACTTTTGGGCGCCCCCCCCCCCCCCCCCCCCGCATAGTTTTTCCATACTGGTAGTCCTACTCACATGACTTTAAACTTTAAAAAAATGTACAAATACATGGAAGAGAATGTAACTAAGACTGCACTCACCATGCTCCAAGCAGCAACTGCCATGCTCAAGGTGTGCACCGCACTTTTCCCTAGTCTCAGCCTAGTCTCGTTCATCTGGACATTCCCGTTAATGTCTTGTTTCTACATCAGGAAAAACAGACAACAACAAGAAATAAAGAAACTAAACAGGGGAACAATGACAAACGTCCATGAACTGGTACTGCGAGAATAGTAGGAATTCCTTACAGCAGAAGATAGTCTCGATCAGCACAAAGAAACCTCTCATACGAAGCCTTTTCCTTCACAGTCTATGCTACCAGTGCCAGACGTGGTCACTCACAATAAATCAGAAAATGAAATTAGTAACGAGGGTACTGAGGCGTCAACAGGGCTGCAGGAGGGAATAGAAAGGAGAAATTCAGGAATGAGGACATAAGAGAAAAAGTTAGATTAGAAACAATTTTAAATTATATACAAAGACAGCAAATCAAATGGTTTGCTCGCTCACAAAAGAGGGGAAGGATGTAGATGTAGACCACAAGGCAGACCAAGAACAAGCTGGAAAGATAACACCTGAGAAACTACAGCAGCACCATGTGTCTATGTTTGAGAAAGCAGAAATGCAAGAAGCAGAACCTTATCTCTCTGTTGACATCCTCAGTTGTTAAAAAAAAAAGAAGGGAAGTGAAGAAGATAAAGATGAAGAAAGTATCACTCATATGGAGCTTTGAGAAAGAGCACAACAAATTCAAATGAATCAAGAGGTGGGGAAAAAATGCCTGTGCTGAAAAGGACACACAGGGAGAAAACCTAAGAACAATATAACTAGAATTTATTTGCGCTGGAACCAACATGACACAGAAATAAAGACAGACCACTGGAAACAGCAGGTCAATCACAGATCGAACGAACAAACTTTATTTTCAAAGGGTCACAAATTGGGCACGCAGGCCCGTCTTACATTCGGCCCTTCCAGTCAACCATCTTTCGCACAGCAGTTGTGTTTTACTAATAAAGCATGGAATGAAGGCAGATGATATCTGCAGCAATGAACCTCAAAAGCTTGGAGGAAGAAGAAGAAGAAGAGGAAAAGAAGGAGAAGAAGAAAAAGAAGATGAAGAGGAGGAGAAAGAAAAGAAGAAGGAAGAGTAGGAGGAGAAGAAGATAAAGCAGAAACAAATATTAATAAAACTACTTATGAATAAAGGCATGCAGAACTGACATCAGTGCACTCCTTAGATTCTCATACCTGCTTTGTTCCTCTCTTCAACAGCCAACAAAGAGTTCTCATAATGCTGGTGCAATCTGAGTAACAGCAAAACAATGGAATCCACAGGGGAAGTATTTTAAAGAATTTAGTTGAAACTTTCCTCTTTGTGTGTCTTTTGTTTCGACAAACTTTCCATATGCTACTTTTGTCATGCAGCTTTTCAAGAGTTCACTATCCATTAATCTTTATGTTTTTTTGTTAGTTAGTTAGTTGGGTTATCATCATTGCACATGTCCATAGGTGCTCAGATCCTCCCCTCAGTATAATCCCCAACATCTGATGGCTAATAGTACCAGTTCTATGTTGATTAACAAGTCTTCTGGCGTGTCTGGTGTGCGTCTCGTTTTTTGCTGTGCCGATCTTAATTCCTAAGTCTGCCATTCTGGCGAGTGATGTGGATTCACTGCCATCAAAGTCCTCTATTCTTCCCATATGTTTTGTTGTTGTTGTTGTTAGCAGACTACTGCATAATGTTTGAAAATGCATCTTCTCAATAAAAGAGTTACAGATGTTCCAAACAACATACCTTGTCTTTACTGGATATGTCAACATAGGCATCAATCTTTGCTGGTGCCAGAACTTCCTCCAGGGTCAAGTGACCATACTCCAGAACATCACAGCTAGCTTGCAATGAACACTGAAGTACAAATAACAGAACAGTTTCAAGGGAGATATTTCAAAAGAGTGGACTGCCTACCTATCAATACGGCAAATAGGCTGGTTTATGGTTTTTTTAGTCGTGTCAAGTTTTTGCTATGCATGGATTATTATTATGGCATGAGGCGTCGCAGGACAACCTATCCTAAAATGGGTACCAAGATGTCTGTCCAGGGGAAGTAAAGACCGCCGGCGTAATACTGACCAAATTACCCCCCTAGTGCCGATTGGTCTGTAAAAATATGGGTGCTCTTTTCATATGCCTGATGCACATAAGGACATAAAAAGGTATCTTTTACTTTTTACAAGTTTTTGCTAATGACAACAGTTAGCTGTCGAAGTTTCCTTCATATACAGACTGAAAAAATATAGTTCTGTCACCCAGCTACTGAGCTGAGTGCATGATGACACTGTGAGCTGCAGATTTAATTTGGAATGCTTTTTTCAACTGCCCCCTTGATGGTTTGTGTTGTAAACTGCAGATTCAGAAAATAGCGAGTGGCCTGTTGCCACAGAATTGATGGTGCCTTATGCAATTAACTGGATGTGCACCTACTGATATGTTACAGCTGCTGCTTCCATTGATGATAAACTGCATTTCTAGTGACAGACTGTCTGTGTTGGTACTTCTGATGGCTGCCTTGGGCATTTAATGTGTGTGTCTGCTACTGGCTTTGCCAAGACTGCAGTCTATGTCTATTTTTTTTAAAACAAAGGATAGTGATGGATATGCTTTGTGGTTTTTGCTGGCATAGGAAAGGAGCAACTAGGGAGTGACCCGTCTGCTATGAACTTAGAACTGTGGTTACATTACTTTACATTTTAAAGAAAACTGAAAACACAGAAACACAGCATTATCGTAATTATCCTGTTGTAAACCTTTATACAGTGCACAATACAACCAGCCAAACTTTTTTATTTTTTTAACTTGTTTATATTTCTCACTTTTTGCAGCCGCCAGTTATTCATCTTGTTTCATAACATAGTATCACATCATGTCCACATCTGCTCCTGTTACAGATTTGTTGTTTTCATGTTCACCTTGACTGTTGATAAGTTCTGCTGTTTCGTCTGTTGATAAAGCCTTGGGTAGAAATATTTGATCCTATATGTGTGTGTGTCTTTTCCATTCTCTATGTTGAGCTTTCTAGTCACAGATGGTGCTTTACCTAGGACTTCTTGACGTTTATATTAAACAAGCATCTAATGGATATGGCTAAGCACGGAAATCAGTCAAAATGTTGACAGCATGTATCTTTGCTGCAGCACCATAGGGATGTGTATCGTGTGTATTTTCCAGATCCAAAAAATATAGATGCATTTCACTCTTATATTCAAGGGTTTTTTCACTCATTTGTCTCAGTGTGAAGATAAGGTCTTGAGTACTTCGGTTTGCTCTGAAGCCACATTGGGCCTCGTCCAGCTTTGGCTCTACCAGACTTCTAAGTCTCTGCTTGAGAATTCTAGAGTAACTTTTACCAGGGACGCTGAGGAGGGATATGCCTCTGTGGTTTTCACATTGTCTGTTATCACCTTTTTTAAATATAGGTATAATGATGTCAATCTCCCAATCTCAAAAAGGAAATACAAAAATCCTAAAACATCTGAACATCAAGAAAGGTTGGCATGAAGCAGGATCTTATCTCAGAAACTGTAATATTTGGGCCATATCAACTGCCATAGTGGATTGGAAAGAACAGTAGCAGAAGGTATATGATAACAAAGGGAGGGACCAACTAGCACAAAGAATATAAGAGACATCTTGGGTGGGAAGGTGCAGGAGAAACAGATAGATGCACCACACATAGGCAGACATACATACAGACACAGGCACACACAAACTCAGTCATACAGAGACAGACATATACAAACAGACATACAAACACAAGCACACATAAACACGGACATAAAAAGATACAAAGACAGACACATAACAGGCATACAGACAAACATAGGCACAAACAAATGCAGATACAAAGAGACTCAAAGACGGACACGGGCAAAAACACAGCCATACAGACAGACACAGGCACATACACACACAGACACACACAGACACAAATACAAAGAGACATAAAGACATACACATGCACAGACACAAACATAGACCGAAATACATACATACAGACACAGGCACATACAAACATAGAGATACAAAGACATACACACAGACACACAAAGACATAAACACAAGGCATAAACACATGCACCACACACATACGCATGTGCATGCAAACTCACACACATAAGATCACCATCTGACAGGGCAAAGAAACCATCTCCTGCCCCCATTTTCCCCACCTTCCACAACCCACTCACAAAAATAGGTCAGACAACACAAGACACTGTCAAACCTTGATACTGGTTTTCCCTTCCTGGCCAGAGACATGTGACATGGTGCTGCTGATGTTCTCCACTTTGATGACCGAAAATACCTGCTCTTCACAGACATCTGCATGAATGTCATAGAGTGACAGCTTCTTTGGAAGCACTGCAAATATGAAAGCAAAATTCAGTTGAGTTGAGTTAAGCTGATTCAAGAACTGACATCACAGCACTAGGGGCATTCCCATAAGCGCTCCATCCCCATCCTCAGCAGCCAGGAAAGAGTTCCGATACTAATAGTGCCAATAGCATTCTGATTAAACGTCCGTCTTGAATTTCCTCTGAGCCTCGAGCAATCTCTCCCCGCTGCATCAATCTCACCAGACTGTGGGGATCCATCTGCTCTTCCGAACTGCACACGCTCTACCACAAGGCACCAACCACGTCTACCTTTTTATGCATCAGAATTCCACCAAGTTGTGCAGAGCCAGCCAGTCTGTCCAACTTTTCATTTCCCAACACATCAGGGAGCAATATTCAGGACCTGTTTTAAGCCAGTGGCACAGGACGATATCCATCCCCACCGTTATGGTTCCCAGGCCTGGATAAGAAAGGAAGAGGGTTTGGCATGGGTCCAGCTTCCACACCCTGTAACAAATTATCTAATAAAGTAACTTGCAGGAAAGGATGCTATTCCGGTAAACAAACGAGTCAAGAGGTATGTGGTGCAGAAAATGTATGTATGACAGTTATGGATGAACTGACGACATGATGATGATAAAGTTGAACCTCACTAGGACCGCATACTGAGCCTTTAGGGAATCTGGTCGGTGCTCAACATCCGGGGGAAAGGCACGACGGATATACAATCAGACAGTTACTGGTGCCATCAGGGAATTGGAACTCTTCGCTTGCTGCTGAAGATGGGGACAGAGCGATTATAGGGGTGTCCTGAGTGCTGTGATGTTGATTCTTATTTCAATATTTAACAATCAACTGAGTGATTAACACCGGAGGAAGCAAATTATCACTACTAGGATGAGAATCCCTCAGGTACAATTCCCCAAATTCCGTTTAACTGTAAGGTTATATTGGGGCCCCCTGAAACTGCTTAATGTCTTCTTGAAACTTCTTTGCACCACCTAGGTGGAAAACCACTGCTCTAAAGGCTAGGATTCGGTTTCGGACATTGTCTTTTACTACGTTAAGGGGGCCGCTTTAGCACAGTTAATAGGAGACTCGCTTTCAAATCCAGCTGCGCTGCAGCCAACGGCCGGGGTTAAAAACTGGGTGATTCCCGGGGTTCACCCAGCCTCTAGGTAATGGGTACCAGAGTAAACACTCTGGAGCAAATGGAGGAACGTCGCTGTAGCTGCGGAGTTTCGTGTGGACGGTGACACATGCGGACAGTTTCTTATCAGCTGTCCGTACTGGTGGCAGAGCACTTATGGTTTATAACCGTGTGCAATGACGCTGGTTCACATCTCCCGACTTTACCTTATTACACTGACTTTTAGTTTGCGTTAGAAGATTAGAAGAACACATGATAAGACACCACCATACGGTACATCACAGAGAACCCTGTCTCTCAGAGATAATGGAAGCACATATAGAGGTTGACCACGCAAGCAATGGATAGATGAAATATCCAAGGCGGTAACCAACAGCATCTACATAGCACATACCACGACTCTCACCCAATGCTTTTTCAAAACCTGACTCAAAAGCAATTCAGGGCTGAAGATAAAGAAGATTGGAACTAAAATCAGTCAATTCAGGTTCTCAACTTTGATGATGGGAAATAACTGCTCTTTCTAACTGCTCACCCATCAAGTGCTGATTGGTCTATAAAATATAGGCTCAATATGCTTGAAGGCATGGCAAAAGGTCTTTTACTTTCACTTTACTTCTGTTTGGTGAAGAATTTAAAGCTGAAGAAGAAGAAGAAGAAATGCTCTTAACTCACCTGATCCATTATACTTAAGATGATGACACAGATGCAGTTCAACCGCTGAAACCAGCACAGACATCTCTACAATAGGGATGAGTGAAGGAACACAGGCAGAGTCCACACACATGCAGGCCGCCAAAGAAGAAGGCAGCACGGCAACATCCCCAGTACATTCTCTGTTCATGAAATAAGATTATAAAATCTAAAGATATTAAAGAGTTTAAAGGCTAGAGGACTGACTTCACTTTACCATTCACCAAAAGGCTCAGTCTCACGTCACAGACAGGCTGTTTACCAGCAAAAGCATGAAAGTCTGTAACTTCAGCAAAATCTCTCAAAGATCGTGGTAAATTAAAGGTCACTGACCACAAAATAGGGAGGAGGCACAGAGCAGAGAGAAGGTACAAAAGCAGGGAGGAAGTACAAAGCAGGGAAGAGGCATAAAACAAGGAGGGGGGGGGGGGATACAAAAACAGGAAGGAAGTACAAAGTAGAGAGGAAACTGTTTCATCTTTTTCGTCATAATGTTTCGTCCACAATAAACAGAATGATCTTACTAGAAGGATCATACTTGGCTTGGTGTATTGTGTTACAATACTCATAGACATTTTCAGTGGTTACTTAAGGACATTTTAGCTTTGCGGCCTGTGCCTTGATTATAGTGGTGCTCTTATTTGGGTTGGCCTTCCATTACGCCAGTTATAATCACTATCAGCATGAGCCGTGCTAAGGAGAGTGGACGGCATGATTGGTGGATAGAGGGAATCCAGTGTGTAGGTGAGAGGACTGACATTACAGACATATATTAAAGTATAACCCCCTAGATAACTTGGCAAGCTTACGAGTACAACCCTATTGCATGTGACAGAAGTACAAAACAAAGACAAGACACAAAACATAGAGAAGGTTCAAAACAGAGAGGAGGTACAACACACAGAGATGACACAAAAATAGAGAAGAGAAACAAAACTGAGAGGAGACAGAAAACAGGCAGGAGGTACAAAACAGGAAGGATACACAAAACAGAGAGAAAGTACAAAACATAGAGAAGAAACAACATAGGAAAAATAACACAAAACAAAGAGGAGAGAGATGGGAGACATAAAACAGGAAGAAGACACAAAATAAGGGTGAAACAAACCAGAGAGGAGATACAGAGAGGAGAAACAAAACAGAGAGGAGATACAAAACAGGGAAAAAACACAATAGGAAGAAGACACAAAACAGGAAGAAGACATAAAACAGGAAGAAGACATAAAACAGAAATGAGACCCCCAAAAAAGAGGAGATATAAAATATGAAGGAAGTACAAAACAGGAAGAAGATTCAAAACAGAGAGTAGACACACAAAAAGAAAGAAGATACAAAACAGAGAGAAAACACAAACCCTTCATTCCCTGGTGGCTGTAGAAGCAACACTCTCCAGATACTGGCTACTACCAACTGTGAAGCATTCACTGCTTTAGGTTCTGGCATTGTAACAAGAACTGGTTCATTCTCGGAAAGATTAAACTCTGCAACATCAACAAATTCTTCCCGAAGTTCGTCCCACGACTGTAGAACACAAGGGATCTAGGGGGGAAAAAATGAGACACCAGTTAAGAACATTTTAGTTCGACAAATGTAAACAATAAAGATGTATATTACACTGGAACCCACAGGAGCATAGAAAGAAAGGTCCCCCAGAGAAAAAAGAAGAGGAAGAGAAGGAAGAAGATTATGAAGATGAAGAAGCAGAAGCAGCAGAAGAAGAAGGAGGAGCATGAGGAGGAGAAGAAGGGGAGTAGAAGGAGCAGCAGCAGGAGGAGGGAGGAGGAGAAGGAGGAGGGGGAGGAGGGGGAGGAGGAGAAAAAAAAAAGCATAAGCAGAAGAAAGAGAAGAAGCAGCAGCAGAAGAAGAAGAGGAATAAGGAGGTCCAGAAGGAGAAAAAGAAGAAATATAAAAATTACCTCTGTTGAACCAGCAGAGCTGCCATCAATGGATAAGGTGCTGGAGGACAAACTGAAAGGTACCGGATTAAGATGTATGCGAGTGATGACCCGGGGAGCTGGGTAATGCCAGACCATGAAGCTGTTCTCTTGCAACTTGGGATCTCCTCCACTGAAGATGATCTCTCCCACTTCAGGCTGCATACTGGATCCTTCTGAAATGAACAGCAGATAATAATTAATCCTTTGGTCTTGAGCAGCCAAAAAAACCGACAATTCCTTCTGGCGTCTAATTCCCTGTAAATGTCACTTCCTCGCCTTGTCTATAGTGGCCTGTTTACAAAATGCATAGTTAATACTATTATTACCTGTGCAAATGCTTAGGAGGTCAGGATATAAATTCAATAACCAACAATTAGTGGGTAGGGGGTGGAGGGGTGGGGTGGGGGTCATTTCAGCTAAACAGCTTTTGTGTAAAGCCAAGTTGACGTCAGAGTTTTCTAGAAGCCTCAGTGATAGAAGTTCCAGCAGTCACCGACTAAGTATGTGTTTTTTTTTAAGGCTCCGAGGGAGGTATTCTAAATAATGCCTAGACCTGTTCATGTTTATTGATTATTCCTTTCATAAAAAAATAATTTCTGGAACTCCAAACCACTTCATTTGTTAGTCTTACAGGTCATCAGAAAACAATTAATGAAGTGGTTTGGACACCTAACAAGAAAGCCCTAGTACTATCTACCACAGCGAGCCACATTGAAATGTTATAATGGGTACACAGCAAGCGGAAGACCTCAGAAAATATGGAGTGATGGCATTTAGAACAGCCTTACAGAAATCAATCTTAATAGTGCTCTTGACAGAGCAATGAACTTTACATCTCCCCCCAGACACCAACAATTAGTGGGTAGGGGGTGGAGGGGTGGGGTGGGGGTCATTTCAGCTAAACAGCTTTTGTGTAAAGCCAAGTTGACGTCAGAGTTTTCTAGAAGCCTCAGTGATAGAAGTTCCAGCAGTCACCGACTAAGTATGTGTTTTTTTTTAAGGCTCCGAGGGAGGTATTCTAAATAATGCCTAGACCTGTTCATGTTTATTGATTATTCCTTTCATAAAAAAATAATTTCTGGAACTCCAAACCACTTCATTTGTTAGTCTTACAGGTCATCAGAAAACAATTAATGAAGTGGTTTGGACACCTAACAAGAAAGCCCTAGTACTATCTACCACAGCGAGCCACATTGAAATGTTATAATGGGTACACAGCAAGCGGAAGACCTCAGAAAATATGGAGTGATGGCATTTAGAACAGCCTTACAGAAATCAATCTTAATAGTGCTCTTGACAGAGCAATGAACTTTACATCTCCCCCCAGACACTTCACTGAGGTACAAGGTGAAAGGAGACAACTGTAGTATATTATAACATGATTGTGGAAAGGCTGGAGGCGAGGAGACGTTGAGGGAGACCAGGGGGAGAATATGCTGGACTATCTGACATTATGGCACAGAAGATCATTAGTGACAAAAATTACTGAAAGTAGATGAGAGACTTTTTGACAGAAATTAAAAGGAGGTTGGCCATAGCAATGCAAAGATTAAACAACATTAAAAGTCTATGGTTAAGCACCAGTAAGGAGATAAAAATTAGAGGATTTTGAGAGCATGCATCTTCCCTGTAGAAACATACAGATGTGAGTTGTGGACTATCTCCCAGTCCTTAAGAAAGAGAATAGGGGCTTTTGAGCTGAAATGCTATAGAAAGATTCTCAGAATATCTTGGACAAAGAAGAGGAGAAATATTACATCTTGAAAGATCTGAAAATCAAGGAAGATTGGCTACTAAACAGCATCCTGTCTCGGAAGTTGAAATATTTGTGTCATATCAAGCGCCACGACGGATTGGACAAAATAATAGCAGAAGGCATGGTACCAGGAAGGAGGGGCAGGGGCCGACCGACACGAAGATGGGCACAGGATATAAGTGACTCCTTGAGTATGAAAGTTCATGAGGCGGGAGATCTGGCGAGAGACCGAGTTTCTTTCAGGCAGACCGTGATGAGAGCGTTGTTCTGCAAAAGACTTGCTACACGATGATAATGATGATGAGATGAGAGAAAAGGTTGTGGACAGATATGGCTAAACTGCCACATGGCGTGGACTATGAGAAGAAGACAATGATGACCATGTTAATTGTCTGAGGGGAGAGGGAAAAAAAAAAGTTACCTGACTGCTCAATGAACTGGAAACCACCACACCTCAGATCATCATGACTTCGGTCTTGTACAAAATCAACACAGGTCTTCAGGCTTGGATTACTGCCCTTTTTTCCAGTGTCTCCAGATGAATGCTGGTCGCAAGTGCCGTAAAATTCCTGAAATTAAAGTGGCAATATGTGATAGTTCCCATTTGGGGAGATCGGGTTTTTTTAGTGTGTTCTTTCCAAATATACAAACTAAGAGCACATTATACTATGGAGTAAAATTAAGAGGCAGAGTTATTCACACACCAAGCGTTGTTTGAGACTGAGAGTTAAGAACCTCAACCCAGTGTCATTTCAAGATATTTCAACACACACAGGCATCGTATATAAAACAAAATATATCCTTACTGACTCTTATCAAAACATTACTAGAGCCGAAAGTTGAAGGCAGACAGCAATACAAGTAAACATCATGAGATGGATGAACAACAGTCTGAACGAGTGTACCTCCTCCAGAGCAAATGACAGAGTTTGCTGGAAGTCAACTGCAACCAAACTTTCACTGTGGAAACGGCACCGGACTCCTCACTGCAGGATGCAACATGTACCTGTAATATTTTTTTGAACCTACTGTGCCAGTTTGGAAAGACAATTTGAATTTCTGACATTCTCACTGAAAGATGCAACACATACCTGTATTATTTTTTGAATCAACTGTGCCAGTTTGGAAAGACAAATTTAATTTTTGACATTCTCAGTGAAAGGTGCCACACAAACTGTATATTTTTTTGAACCTACTGTGCCAGTTTGGAAAGACAATTTGAATTTCTGACATTCTCACTGAAAGATGCAACACATACCTGTATTATTTTTTGAATCAACTGTGCCAGTTTGGAAAGACAATTTTAATTTCTGACATTCTCACTGAAAGATGCAACAAATACCTGTATTATATTTTGAATCAACTGTGCCAGTTTGGAAAGACAATTTTAATTTCTGACATTCTCACTGAAAGATGCAACACATACCTGTATTATTTTATGAATCAACTGTGCCATTTTAGAAAGACAAATTTAATTTTTGACATTCTCAGTGAAAGGTGCCACACAAACTGTATTATTTTTTTGATCTACTGTGCCAGTTTGGAAAGACAATTTTAATTTCTGACATTCTTAATGAAAGATGCCACACATACCTGTATTATTTTTTGAATCTCCTGGGCCATTTTGGAAAGACAAAACATGTGCTCTTGTCCAAATGTTACAGGCACCAAATTGAATTCTGCGGCAAGGAGAACCTTTATTGTGGCAAGAGAAACAGCAAATTAAAATACATAAACATGCTGACAAGACTTATGAGAAAAGCGATTAAGATAATCAGGTAATTGCAGTTGCAACTTCACAGCAAACGGATCATCCCATTGCTCCGATCCTGATCACCTCATTGCTCCATTCCTGATCACCCCATTGCTCCGTTCCTGATCACCCCATTGCTCTGTTCCTGATCACCCCATTGCTCCATTCCTGATCACCCCATTGCTCCGTTCCTGATCACCCCATTGCTCCTTTCCTGATCACCCCATTGCTCCGTTCCTGATCACCCCATTGCTCCTTTCCTGATCACCCCATTGCTCCATTCCTGATCACCCCATTGCTCCGTTCCTGATCACCCCATTGCTCCATTCCTGATCACCCCATTGCTCCATTCCTGATCACCCCATTGCTCAGTTCCTGATCACCCCATTGCTCCGTTCCTGATCACCCCATTGCTCCATTCCTGATCACCCCATTGTTCCGATCCTGATCACCCCATTGCTCCATTCCTGATCACCCCATTGCTCCATTCCTGATCACCCCATTGCTCCGTTCCTGATCACCCCATTGCTCTGTTCCTGATCACCCCATTGCTCCGTTCCTGATCACCCCATTGCTCCGTTCCTGATCACCCCATTGCTCTGTTCCTGATCACCCCATTGCTCCGTTCCTGATCACCCCATTGCTCCGTTCCTGATCACCCCATTGCTCCGTTCCTGATCACCCCATTGCTCCGTTCCTGATCACCCCATTGCTCTGATCCTGATCACCCCATTGCTCCGTTCCTGATCACCCCATTGCTCCATTCCTGATCACCCCATTGCTCTGTTCCTGATCACCCCATTGCTCCTTTCCTGATCACCCCATTGCTCCTTTCCTGATCACCCCATTGCTCCGTTCCTGATCACCCCATTGCTCCGTTCCTGATCACCCCATTGCTCCGTTCCTGATCACCCCGTTGCTCCATTCCTGATCACCCCATTGCTCCATTCCTGATCACCCCATTGCTCCGTTCCTGATCACTCCATTGCTCCATTCCTGATCACCCCATTGCTCCATTCCTGATCACCCCATTGCTCCGTTCCTGATCACCCCATTGCTCCATTCCTGATAACCCCATTGCTCTGTTCCTGATCACCCCATTGCTCTGTTCCTAATTACCCCATTGCTCCATTCCTGATCACCCCATTGCTCCATTCCTGATCACCCCATTGCTCTGTTATTGCTTCGTTCCTAATTACCCCATTGCTCCATTCCTGATCACCCCATTGCTCCATTCCTGATCACCCCATTGCTCCATTCCTGATCACCCCATTGCTCTGTTATTGCTTCGTTCCTAATTACCCCATTGCTCCATTCCTGATCACCCCATTGCTCCATTCCTGATCACCCCATTGCTCCATTCCTGATCACCCCATTGCTCTGTTATTGCTTCGTTCCTAATTACCCCATTGCTCCATTCCTGATCACCCCATTGCTCCATTCCTGATCACCCCATTGCTCCATTCCTGTGCACAAAAAAGCACACAGAATGTCCATCACTGCCCTTTGTGAAAACACCGACATAGACTGCAGTGTCAGCAAACCCAATAGCGTACATAAGCAATAAATGCACAAAGCAGCCATCAGAAGTGCCAGCACAAACAGTCTGGCACTAGAAAGGGCAGAGGAAGACAATGCATTAATATGTTTTTTTTAACAAACTTTTGTTTTTTTATTAGATGAAACAGTGTCAGTTCATGTGTATAACAAGCAGATAACAAGCAATTTTCAAATACAGCACAGGAAATAAAATTAGAGGAAAATCGGACAGTTCACACATGAAGCAATGGAAAGATCTTAAAGAGAACATACATTTAGTTTTAACACCCAGCACTCTAAATTCAACTATGCAATGAAACAGATCATTATATTTAGATAATGAACTAGACCCAAGAGACGCAGTCACAAGTACAAAAAAATTCCAGATTGGGGATTCAGAACTTTGTTTGTGTGGAGAGGCACCACATGATACTGAACACAAGCTACAGACAGGATCTTTACATGCAGGGAAGAGATGCCAGGTCTGGCACGCTGGAAGTCCAAAGGAAACCAAGCTGTATAGAACAGAGGAAGACATGCGGTGTATCATAAACTTCAGAGAAGCCTGTAGCCTTCTCATCTAAAAACCACAGGCAGGAAGGATGGAAAGAGGAAGAAGAAGAATTAAACTGTGGTTTGCCATGTGAGAAGCTCATGGGCTTTTACGGTACTGACTGGATTAGAATTGTGAAGCAAGATTCTGGTGCTTTTGCCTTGACTACAAGTAGTCTGACTATGGAGGTCATGGAAGTGACTATAAAATAACATCGCTGGAGACGCAAACCTTTACCCACACATTTTCTCTGTGATTCAATGAGTATGCTCAGGAAAATATAAATGGGCTAGGTCCGAAGACGGAGTCTCTGAGACAGTCGGGGCTGATGCATATCAGGTTCCTATTTGTGGCAAGGCACACAGGAGTGCAAGGAAATGAGTAAGTTCATAGGCTTGCAGGTAAAACTACCATGGAGGGCGGACGTGCCATGGACAATGCTAGTATATACTGAATGCTCTCTAAATGGGAAGGATAGAGGACTTTGGTGGCAGTGAATCCACAACACTCGCCAGAATGGCAGACTTGGGAATTAAGATCGGCACAGCAAAAAACGAGACGCACACCGGACACGTCAGAAAACTTGTTTATCAACATAGAACTGGTACTATTAGCCATCGGACGTTGGGGTTCACACTGAGGGGAGGATCTGAGCACCTATGGACATGTCCGGAGTGCAATGATGATAACCCAACTAACTAACTAACTAACTGACTAACTAACTAACTAACTAACTAACTAACTAACTAACTAACTAACTAAACTAAACTAAACTAAACTAAACTAAACTAAACTAAACTAAACTAAACGACTGACTGACTGACTGACTGACTGACTGACTGACTGACTGACTGACTGATTGACTGACTGACTGACTGACTGACTGACTGACTGACTGACTAACTAAGTAACTAACTAACTAACTAACTAACTAACTAACTAACTAACTAACTAACTAACTAACTAACTAACTAACTAACTAACTAACTAACTAACTAACTAACTAACTGAATGCTCTACAAGAAGTGAGACATTTGCTAGAAGTGATGACTGTGAATCTGCAACCATAAACAGACTGCAAAAACAGCATGTTAAATGAGGTGTGACGAGACAAGAGCACTTTGCAGGAAGTCAAAGAAGAATAAGAAACCAACACAGGACTGGTGTTATCAGCCGCTACACACTGCGAGATTTCCTGAGGAGGGGATTCGAGCAGTTATGGACTGAGCATTTTTATCTGCAATGAGGATAATCAGTTGACTAACCAACCAACTAACCAGCTAGCTAGCTAACTAACTAACTAGCTAACTAAGTAACTAACTAAACCAGCTAACTAACTAGCTAGCTAACTAACTAGCTAGCTAATTAACTAACTAAACTAAACTAACTAACAGCTTTATCAAAAAAAATGTTGAGTTATGAACCTTGCCGTAACTCACCACTCCTCCCTCTTCAATACTCTCTTCCTGCATCACACATGACTTAGAGTTTCTACTATGCAGACTTTTTTGCATATCTAGGTGAGAGACGTATACCTACAGATAAGAGATTTTGTGTAACCTTGTTTATAAATATGGCACATACAACATTTAACTGACTGAGCACCCCATTGCTCCATTCCTGATCACCCCATTGCTCCGATCCTGATCACCCCATTGCTCCATTCCTGATCACCCCATTGCTCCATTCCTGATCACCCCATTGCTCCGATCCTGATCACCCCATTGGTCCGATCCTGATCACCCCATTGCTCCATTCCTGATCACCCCATTGCTCCATTCCTGATCACCCCATTGCTCCGATCCTGATCACCCCATTGCTCCATTCCTGATCACCCCATTGCTCCATTCCTGATCACCCCATTGCTCCATTCCTGATCAACCCATTGCTCCATTCATAATAACCCTATTGCTCCATTCCTGATCACCCCATTGCTCCGATCCTGATCACCCCATTGCTCCGTTCCTAATCACCCCATTGCTCCATTCCTGATCACCCCAAAATATGTGGGTAAAGGTTTGAATCCCCAGCCATGTTACTGCTTTGGTCACTACTATGACCTCCATAGTCAACTTGTCAAGATGAAAGCACCAGAATCTTACTTCACAGTTCTACTTATAGATAAGAGACTTTTTGTAATCTTGTTTATAAATATGGCACATACAACATTTAACTGGTTGACATAAAGCCTGAACAAAGGTCAGAAGTTAACTGTGGCAAAAATGTTTGCTTGTGGCAAAAATGTTTGCTTGTGGCAAAAATGTTTGCTTGTGGCAAAAATGCCTGTCCAATTACCTGAGGTATAAATGTGTCATTTGAGAGTGGAATCCATGATAGAAGACCATCCATGTTTGCAGTGAATGGACCAATCAAATGACGGCATTTTTTCTCATAAATGGTTTTCGCAACAATGTCCTTCAACTGAATGTGAGCAGTCAGTGATGAGTTTTCTTCTGTGGGGATGGAAAAACAGAAAATCAGTCATGAGTTTTCTTCTGTGGGGATGGAAAAACAGAAAATCAGTCGTGAGTTTTCTTCTGTGGGGATGGAAAAACAGAAAATCAGTCATGAGTTTTCTTCTGTGGGGATGGAAAAACAGAAAATCAGTCGTGAGTTTTCTTCTGTGGGGATGGAAAAACAGAAAATCAGTCATGAGTTTTCTTCTGTGGGGATGGAAAAACAGAAAATCAGTCACAAGTTTTCTTCTGTGCAAATTAAAATAAGTGATAATTTTCTTGTGCAGGATAAAACAAGTGGGAAATCAACTATGAATTTTCTTCTTCTTCTTCTTCGCGTTCACCAGCTGTAAACTCTGGCGGAAGGTTCTGGTTGCTCGTCCACTACTGAACTGCAGTCCTGCTTCAGAACCTGAGTGTTGCGTGTGCATCAGTTTTACAGATCTCATTTTCTGAATACAGACTGTTGGTTCCTTGCCTCTCCGGCAGATGCACTCCGACTTCAAAGGAAGCTCCCCAATTAGTCGACTCTTACGACATGCTTTTGGGGAGGCAGTGGGTCTATTCTTGTTTTCCCCACAATGGGGCCTCGGAACCCACACGGGGGACTATGAATTTTCTTATGCAGGATGAAAAAAAAAGGAGAAAATCAATGATGAATTTCACATTTATAAACTTGAATCAACATCCGATTCACGTAGGCTTTTCAGTATGACAATCTGTACTGCAGTAATTTACTGGTCATTGTGGCTTGGAAGGCAATGAAATAGTGAACATTTCTATGTCCCACCCTTCATTTCCACTTACAGAGGTGTCTTCAAAATGGAGGTTACAGCTATCAAGTCTAGAAATTACTATGAAAGAGTTAGCAAGTTTCTTGAGAACCATCTTACCTGTCTAATGGGCTCTCTTTCACCAAAAAAACTTAATGTCCAACACAGCTTTATCCACACAGATGGGTCTGTGGTTTGCCATGTGAGAAGCTCATGGGCTTCATTTTCAGTATAACAATCTGTACTGCAATAATTTACTGGTCATTGTGGCTTGGAAGGCAATGAAATAGTGGAGAGACTGGCTTAATTGGCAGTGATATGATGCAGTCAAGCTGTAATTTAACCCACCAAGAGACTTAAGATTTTAATGAAAACTAGTGTACAAGAAAGGTCGCTTGATATCCACAACAAATTCATCTCAAGACTGGCTTCATCGCTTCTCAAGAGAGGGACAATGTTTCACATTCAGACTAAGGACAGGGCACAACAGACATTTTTCGGTCCAGGAAACACTGAGATGTGACCCTGAAACTTGGCACCAGAAAATGCTGAGCATGTGCTCCAGCACTGTCAACTGTATGCTGCCAACAGAGAGGCCAAGGGGTCTGTTCCAACCTTAATCAAAACAAAACTGTATGGTACAGGGGCAGATTTGAACTGCATTTTTTTCAAATTCTCTTTCGTTGACCACTTTCAGCTAGGTCCGCTCACACTTCTGCTCACTTTCCTTTCAGCTATATTTGTGGTGACGTTTTCTGGTCTCGATCTCATTTGATTTTGGATTGTGTTCAATATTGTTGCTTTCTATTTGTTGTGGTTTCCGCTCTTGCTGTTGCTTTTGTAATTTGGCTGGCCCTGTGCTGCGCTCAAGATGATTGAATGTTGAATCGATTTATTGTGGTATTCCTTGGCTGTTTGTTGTTTCCGGGGAAAGTAAATTGCCTATCCTAATAAGGACCGGCGGTCGATTGACTTGGGCAGGTACTGATGACAATACTGGTGAGGTCTGGTATTATTTGGTGATTTTCTCGTATCCTTGTTGTAAAGTAATGCTCCTACATAGGGTTTCGGTAATTTTGGCCTTGGTTGTGTCGTATCTGGTATTAGTGTTTGGGGTAACGGTGTCGACCTCGTTTGACTTCAGGTTTTGGCTGTCGATATGGTTCCTTTGAACTGCATGATAGCTTTCATCAGATCTACTGGAATCCTGATATAAGGTTTTCTGACAGAAGGATTAAGAAAGAAGAAAAAGTAGAAAATTCTGTGGAAAAACAAGAAATACTGACATCTTCAAAGATCTGAACATCAAGGAAGATTGGCTAATAAACAGCATCCTTTCTCGGAAGCTGAAATATTTTGGTCATATCAAGCGTCACGACGGATTGCAAAAAATTATAGCAGAAGGCATGGTACCGGGAAGGAGGGGCAGGGGCCTACCAACACGAAGATGGTCACAGGATATAAGTGACTCCTTGAGTATGAAAGACATGAGGCGGGAGAACTGGAGAGAGACCGAGTTTTTTTTTTAGGAAGACCATGATGAGAGCGACGTTCTGCAAAGGACCTGCTACATGATGGTGATGATGTGGAAAAACAAGAGGTGGAAAATCAATGATAAATTTTCTTAGGCAGACAAAAATGTTTTTAAAAAAACCTAGTTAGTTGCCTTCAAAACATTTTTGTTAAGGGGAGGGAAAAGGGGAGTGTGGGGGGTGGGGGCATGTTAAGTAAATAAAGCCCCATCTTTAAGCCAATGGTACATCATATAGTCATCTGATGCTAGAATCATATTTTTCAAGACTGGCATTCACTGGGCAATGTGGGTCACATCGTACATGCCGCCATTACTTCCCAGGATATTACTTGGTATTCATTTTTTATGAGGGGGGTGGGGGGGGGAGGCAGTGGGTATATCCCCCCAACCCCAAATGAGAGCCTGGAACCCACACAGGAAGCTCAGGGGGAACTACTAAAAGCGTCAGTCAACATGACACATGGAATACATCATTAACTGACAGCAATGGCAAGCATACCTTTGCTGGTGTTAGCCTCCAGAGTGGTGCCTTCTAGTGACACCACAGCTCCTGCAGAAACTCCCTCGCAGGCCAGGTCGAGGCTGACAACTATCTGGGATGTATGGATCTCCAACCTCTCTACCAGTGAAAGCACAGCTGTCAAGGAAAATAAATTGAGAATGTCTTTAAAACAAAGAATGATATATGAATAAACATGATGAATCAAAAATACTTCCACTTAACAGACAGAGTATACCAGGGCTGTCCAGAATAAGTCATAGACAATAAAGGTTAAAAGTGAAAGGTTAAAGGTGAGAAGATCGACTTCATTGCACCTGAATTTTATCCCATATGGCTCAGTCTGTCTCCGCAAAGCGGTCAGCCTCCTGCTGAGAGCACCACACAGAGAAGAAACTTCCTAGCTCCAGCTATGATCCACAGGGATTTCCGTTAAAAACTGCACTCGTGAACCAAAGGGCAAAGCTGCGAAACAAACTCATGACCATCATGAGGCATGAGGCAATTGGTTTGACCACTTCGCCACGGAGACCCCCGTCAGAGACAATATGAAAGTGAATGGTTTGCATGATATCGATGTAACTTGGTAGTCAAACAGAATGGCCCATTATGTACATACACAAGCAGTTATAATGTCACTGTACACTTCAGTGCAGCCTTTAACCATGGTTTTGTGAAGTGTGAGGTTTGAGGTTTGAGGTCCGAGGTTTGAACAATGGATCAACATCATGGCACACGGGTAGTAACCCATAGGTGCTCCATTCATCTTCTAACTCAAGTCTGAGTCCGAAGCTCAGCACAGTGCACAGGCTCTGTAGCACCGGTGAGGATCCTGAAATACTTTGGGTAGATTTTCAACTCAAAATGTTGCCTGGGCAGCGCGGTTAGGCTACTCTTTTTGATTTCCAACTGCCAAGGGACTTTTCGTGTGCGCAACAATGCACATTGGGATTCGATCTCACTACCCAGAGACCAGGGGAAATATAGAAGTCCAAGTCCACGTGAAAAAATCCCATCCTTTACCAGGGATTGAACCGAAAACTCTGCTGCCGTGGATGAACCCACAAACTTCAGATATGAGGCAAAGTGTTTGACCACTTCACCACAGGGACCCTTGTGAAGATTTAAGGCAGCATGGCTAGTACATCTGCCATGAACTGTGCAGGTGAGGATTTTCATTTCTGCCTGTGACAGGGAAAAAACTTCCATAACTTTACTGAAGATCGAACCCAGTCTTCCACATAAGGCCCTGGCAATTTAACTGCTCAGTCAGCTACTCCACCACAACAGAATTCTTCTTCTTCTTCTTCTCTTCCACCTGAACCTCAGCGAAGTGTCGGGGGAGATGTAACATTCGTTGGTAAGCTCTATCGAGAGAACTATTAAAACTGATATTCATTTCTGTAAGGCCGTTCTTAGTACCATCACTTAATAATTTCCTAGGTCTTCCGCTCGCTCGTTTTAGTGTGGCTCGCTCTGGTAGATAGTACCAGTGCATTTGTTTTTAGGTGTCCAAACCACTTCATTTTTTGTTCTTTGATGACTGTAAGACTGGCTTTATTCGTAGCATTCATCTGATTTCGTATTCTGTCTTTCCTTGAAACTCCTGAAGCTCTTCTAAGGCATTTAATCTCTGTTGTCACAATTTTACTTTCATTGAAGCATGTAAGTGCCCAAGTTTGGCACTGATAGCATAGTGTTGGCAAAAAAAACACTTCTGATAAGATTCACTTTGGTATTCCGAGGTACCTGTTTGTGTCAACAGGGGAGATAGTTGTCCCATTACTTGATTAGCTTTGGCACATCTCGAGCTAATTTCTCTGTTCAATTTTCCGTTGTATGTGAAAATTTCTCCCAAATACTAAAATTCATCCGTTTGTCTTAAGGTGTTGTTTTTTAATGTTATTTCTAAAATTGTCTTTCTGTCTTCCTACAGAATTCAGGAGAGTAAAAAGAAGTAAAAATAAAAACTCACCACTCTGAGACACTTGGCCCACTGCTCTCTGTTCTGACCGGTCTGCCTCTGAGACATTTATAGAATCCTGCCCTGGAAATATGCTGTTCATCTCGGAACATAACGTGGCTATTTGTTCCACAGCTAGTTTGCAAACTTTCAGCCTCATGGGGCGTTCCAAGCTGACGCTCGCTGTATCTAACATTTGAAGACATCCCAAACATTACTCTTAGACTACCTCATCGTTACCAAGGATGCTAACTGTATCTAACACAAGAAATACTGTTAAATTAACTCATTCAGTACCAAGAATTCTCACTGTAACTAAGATAACCACCCCCCCCCCCCCCCCCCCCAAATAAAATAAAACAAGTTACTGTTAAATTAACTCATTCACTACCAAATAACTCATCACAAGGTCTAGTTGGTTCAAACACAGCAGCACATCTTATGTTTTCTTCTGTCCCAGACAGTTGTTACATTAACTCACGCTGGCATAATTGATAGTTAATCATTTCACCACATCAGATCCAAACTTGTTTACTTGAAAGTAAACCTCAGCGGAACATAAAGAATTAATACAATTACAGGTTGGGACTGTCAGGGTTCAAGGTTGCTGTTACTCCTTCCTCTTTCCTTTTTTTTTTTACGGTCGTCATCTTTTTTTCACTTATTGACCTGTTGGGCAGTTATATGGCACACATATTTCCTAGTCTATGTCTCCATTCTGTTCCATCTTGTGCAATTACTTCAATAACATGGATGGAATCCAGTCCAGCATCTTTGGCTTCTCTTGGCCACGTTCATCTGAGGGTTTCTCTTGGACATCCTCGTGTTCTTGATCCCTCTATTTTTTCAAGCAACCATTAGACTCAGCCAAGATGATGAACTATTCTCAATAATGAGAACATCAGTTCAGCCAAGATGGTGAACTATTCTCAATAATGAGAACATCAGTTCAGCCAAGATGGTGAACTATTCTCAATAATGAGAACTCATCAGTTCAGCCAAGATGGTGAACTATTCTCAATAATGAGAACTCATCAGTTCAGCCAAGATGGTGAACTATTCTCAATAATGAGAACATCAGTTCAGCCAAGATGGTGAACTATTCTCAATAATGAGAACATCAGTTCAGCCAAGATGGTGAACTATTCTCAATAACGAGAACTCATCAGTTCAGCCAAGATGGTGAACTATTCTCAATAATGAGAACTCATCAGTTCAGCCAAGATGGTGAACTATTCTCAATAATGAGAACATCAGTTCAGCCAAGATGGTGAACTATTCTCAATAACGAGAACTCATCAGTTCAGCCAAGATGGTGAACTATTCTCAATAATGAGAACTCATCAGTTCAGCCAAGATGGTGAACTATTCTCAATAATGAGAACTCATCAGTTCAGTCAAGATGGTGAACTATTCTCAATAACGAGAACTCACTCATCAGTTCAGCCAAGATGGTGAACTATTCTCAATAACGAGAACTCACTCATCAGTTCAGCCAAGATGGTGAACTATTCTCAATAACGAGAACTCACTCATCAGTTCAGCCAAGATGGTGAACTATTCTCAATAACGAGAAATCACTCATCAGTTCAGCCAAGATGGTGAACTATTCTCAATAATGAGAACTCACTCATCAGTTCAGTCAAGATGGTGAACTATTCTCAATAACGAGAACTCACTCATCAGTTCAGCCAAGATGGTGAACTATTCTCAATAACGAGAACTCACTCATCAGTTCAGCCAAGATGGTGAACTATTCTCAATAACGAGAACTCACTCATCAGTTCAGCCAAGATGGTGAACTATTCTCAATAATGAGAACTCACTCATCAGTTCAGTCAAGATGGTGAACTATTCTCAATAACGAGAACTCACTCATCAGTTCAGTCAAGATGGTGAACTATTCTCAATAATGAGAACTCACTCATCAGTTCAGCCAAGATGGTGAACTATTCTCAATAACGAGAACTCACTCATCAGTTCAGTCAAGATGGTGAACTATTCTCAATAACGAGAACTCACTCATCAGTTCAGTCAAGATGGTGAACTATTCTCAATAATGAGAACATCAGTTCAGCCAAGATGGTGAACTATTCTCAATAACCAGAACTCATCAGTTCAGTCAAGATGGTGAACTATTCTCAATAACGAGAACTCACTCATCAGTTCAGTCAAGATGGTGAACTATTCTCAATAACGAGAACTCACTCATCAGTTCAGTCAAGATGGTGAACTATTCTCAATAATGAGAACATCAGTTCAGCCAAGATGGTGAACTATTCTCAATAACGAGAACTCATCAGTTCAGTCAAGATGGTGAACTATTCTCAATAACGAGAACTCACTCATCAGTTCAGTCAAGATGGTGAACTATTCTCAATAACGAGAACTCACTCATCAGTTCAGTCAAGATGGTGAACTATTCTCAATAATGAGAACTCACTCATCAGTTCAGTCAAGATGGTGAACTATTCTCAATAATGAGAACATTAGTTCAGCCAAGATGGTGAACTATTCTCAATAACGAGAACTCATCAGTTCAGTCAAGATGGTGAACTATTCTCAATAACGAGAACTCACTCATCAGTTCAGTCAAGATGGTGAACTATTCTCAATAACGAGAACTCACTCATCAGTTCAGTCAAGATGGTGAACTATTCTCAATAACGAGAACTCACTCATCAGTTCAGTCAAGATGGTGAACTATTCTCAATAATGAGAACATCAGTTCAGCCAAGATGGTGAACTATTCTCAATAACGAGAACTCATCAGTTCAGCCAAGATGGTGAACTATTCTCAATAACGAGAACTCATCAGTTCAGTCAAGATGGTGAACTATTCTCAATAACGAGAACTCACTCATCAGTTCAGCCAAGATGGTGAACTATTCTCAATAACGAGAACTCATCAGTTCAGTCAAGATGGTGAACTATTCTCAATAACGAGAACTCATCAGTTCAGCCAAGATGGTGAACTATTCTCAATAATGAGAACTCATCAGTTCAGCCAAGATGGTGAACTATTCTCAATAATGAGAACTCATCAGTTCAGCCAAGATGGTGAACTATTCTCAATAACGAGAACTCATCAGTTCAGTCAA